AATAATTAATTATTGATTTAAAATAAAAACATTTATTATTATCAAATCTTGCTTTAAACAGAAAAAATAATTTTATTATATTAAATCCTAGTGCTACAGTAGAATTAATGACGTATTTTGGTTTCACACGTAAAATATCAAAAATATATTTTGAGAAATTTTTTTGTAAATCAAAATAAGAAATGGTTCTACATATTTGTGCAAGATAACCTGTTTTGTTATAGTTTACTTTAATTATTCTTCGTTCCATTTTCTCTTATTAGTGTGAATTCTTTTTTAAAAAAAACTGTACTTTGTTACAGATTATCTTACCATGGATGAAAATTTCAAATGATGTTGCCCTTCANCTACATATTTGTGCAAGATAACCTCTTTTGTTATAGTTTACTTTAATTATTCTTCTTTCCATTTTCTCTTATTAGTGTGAATTCTTTTTTAAAAAAAACTGTACTTTGTTACAGATTATCTTACCATGGATGAAAATTTCAAATGATGTTGCCCTTCATTTAACAGCCTATGACTTATTGAAAAGTGATATTTATAAGTTAAAAATCTTTATTTCTAAATCTTCAATTTTTTACCTTGGAAATAATACTTAGTTTACTTAATATTAAGTTTAAAATTTTGGTCATTTGGTTGCCCAACTTGAAACCTGTCCCTGTACAGTGCAGAACAAAAAAGCAGTTTTGTTTTCCTTCTTTCTAACAAACAAATATAAATAAAAAAAATTCCATTCTAAGTTTATATGTCATTTAACATGTTTTCCATATATTCCCTTGGTTTTGGCAGCTTTACAGGGTAAAAGGAGAAACAATTTCGGAAATATAAAAATAAAAGTTATCATGAAATCCAGAAAAAAATAATTCATTGGACAAAAGCTTTCAAAAAAAGATAAAATCTTTTCAAGATTTCAATTTCATCTCTTTTAACTTTTCAAATTTTCAAGATAAAATCTCTAATTAAATTATGAACAATTATTTTTTGAAGAATTTTATAAAGTTAAAAATACTAAAACATTTTGAATCATTTTGTTAAAAGAAAAAAATACTCCCAAAGCATCGGAACAAACTGGAACAATTAATGAATTCAGCCCACAGATTAAAAGAAGATTTAAAGAAAAAAAAATTAAACGCTACTTTTATAAACAGAAGCAAATATCTTAATCCTTTCTTCCACATTTTTGCCTTTCTTAAACTGCATAGTCCCATAATCTACAAAGAGGAAAAAGATTTCTGCATTCATTTCCCAACACAAAAGAGTTTGCAATGGTATTCTAGTTTCACATGAATTTTAATGCAAGAAAAGTATTACTGAGTTGATGATATTTCAACTTTTTTACGATAAATTTACGTCTAAATANGATTTCTCCATTCATTTCCCAACACAAAAGAGTTTGCAATGGTATTCTAGTTCCGCATGAATTTTAATGCAAGAAAAGTATTACTGAGTTGATGATATTTCAACTTTTTTACGATAAATTTACGTCTAAATAAGTGTGGATGTAATGGATGGTAAAATAATTTTAATTAAGATAAAAATTCCAGCTTTTCTTTGGAATTCCCTGATTTTTCCAGGTCTTAATCCAAATTTCCCTGACTTTTCCAGTTTTATTCCAGTATAAAAAAATTCCCTCATAATTCCAGGTTTTCGAGGTGGGTGGTCACTCTGGTTTGAGTCCCATAGCGGCCAGATTAACAGTGGGAGGTTTTAGTGGTTTTCTACGCCGTGTAACGCAAATGCGGTTTAGTTTTATCAAAAAAAGTCCTCTATGGAGGCAAATTTCCCCCTATACTTGATATCTTGTCTTCTGGATTGGGCTCAAAATTACAAATCTATGTAGTTGAACATTGATAGTCGTAAATCCAAAACTGGATCTGCTGTTCCATGACTGTATGAAATGACAATATAAAATAAAATTGTCAAGGAGGAATCACGATGGCGCAGCAGAAAAGAAATTCCCCTCCCAATGAGGTGTCCCGGGTTCAATGACTGGTCTATGTGGGTTTTACTCCCGGTTTGCACCGACCAGAAATTTAAGTGTAAGATTATCACTGTTAATGGGTCAAGGGTTAAAATCGTTGGGCTAATCATATAAGGTTTTCGCGGTTTTTCCCTCCGTGTAACGTTTGCAGTTTTCTGTTTAGGTAAAAAGATATATTTAACATTTATTGGAACTTCGGGAAGCATGTTGAAAATATCTTTTAAACAGTTAACAAAAACAGCAAAAACATCACATTTGGAACAAAAAGTTACTTATTACTATATTGTACTAAATTCTTTCTTTATAAAATGGTAAACATATAAATAACAGTAATTAAATAAATTTATCAAGCCTCTGATTGAAAGTATAATGACATTCTGTTAACAAACAGTTCTGTAAACCTATTTCTTGAATAAACAAATATGTAATATATGAAGCATATTTTTCTCATTTGTAATGTGTACCAAAGTTATGGAGTAAAAAATATTTTTTCTTTCACATAAAATTTTTAATTTTTTTTTAGAGACAATTTCAATTTTAAATTTCATATTCCAATTTTTAAATAATGTCAATCATGCAATATACTATGTAATTTTTTTTTCCTAACAGGAATATAAAAATTTTCAGGATAGTTCTCGGTATTCAAAGCACAAATCGAATATTTAGTTAAGCCGGATAATGTACTGCAGGGAACAGTACTTAGTTACTCTTTCTTAACTTTTAAATTAATACCAATTTAATAAGATCGTCAATAAATTATTGTATTAAAAATTAAAATGCCTATTAAATATTTAAATAGATATTAACACGAAACCTATGAACTAGAGAAGAACCTATACCATTTATGACCCAGAAACAACAAATTTGTATTTTGACTAGTAAATTTGTATGATATACTAGTAAATTTGAGCTTGAATTTATTTCAATTTTTATTATCAGACATCGCTCATAACCTTCCTCCCACTTTGCCCGAAAAAGTGAGCAAATCCCTTTCCGACTTTAGGTGCTTTTGTTGTATTTGAACGACCAGGAAATTTACTGAAGCAGTAGAATATAATTCTTACCAAAGTTATGATGAATCACACAATACTATTCTCCATCATAAAGACAACATCCTGTCCTTTAAAATGCAAAGTAATCAATAAGATATGAATAAAATATCAACCATTTCAAATAATAATAAATTTACGACACATATAAATATGTGGTCACTATTGCTTATTTGCTCGAAGAAAAATTTTATTACAACACTGTATTACAATATTATTACAATACCCAATTCTTTCCCATACCTCTGTCAACTAAAATTGACTTTCTAAGTATGGAGATTAATTATCAGTCGACACCGGAAAACAGAGAGTCTAAATATATATATATTAAAGAATTGCCTGCCATTAGCCACCTGACACTACATTTCCCGCCAAAATTACACCATGTGCTCCAAAATCAGTGATTTCGACTTCTTGTATTACATAAGAAAGATGCTATTTCCACCGAAACTTTCAGCAGAGGGTGTGTTTCTTGTTCCTCAGTGGCACCATCTCCTAGCAAGAATGGGACTTCCGAAACAGACATAAGTCACAGCCCGTTTAAAGGGTGGTATACATCCATTCATTAATCCACCGATCATAATTCTGATCTGAATCAGAGATCAATCTAGCTCCAATTCAGTTCCTCCAGAAGTTTGATTTGTTATGGAAACATGGGGGATTTTGTGATCCGACAGAAATAACATGCACTAGTCACCATTTACTAAACGGAGAGGACCGAACTCGCGGCGACTTAAACATAGTCCCAGCGATCTACCAACCACGCTATCCCAGATTCTGAAGAATTCTTTCGTTTTAGGGCGTTACAAGATTACTAAATAAGATTTTAATGATGAAGAAAATTATTTTTTTTTATGTTCTCCACTTGCGGCAATGCGAAAAACAGATTTACAGTGATAAAGGTTTCTTTTGAGATTAAAAACTATTTTTTTTTTAGAATTAANAATATATATATATTAAACAATTGCCTGCCATTAGCCACCTGACGCTACATTTCCCGCCAAAATTGCACCATGTGCTCCAAAATCAGTGATTTGGACTTCTTGTATTACATAAGAAAGATGCTATTTCCATCGAAACTTTCAGCAGAGGGTGCGTTTCTTGTTCTTCAGTGGCACCATCTCCTAGCAAGAATGTGACTTCCGAAATAGACATAAGTCACAGCCCGTTTAAAGGGTGGTATACATCCATTCATTAATCCACCGATCATAATTCTGATCTGAACCAGAGATCAATCTAGCTCCAATTCAGTTCCTCCAGAAGTTTGATTTGTTATGGAAACATGGGGGATATTGTGATCCGACAGAAATAACATGCACTAGTCACCATTTACTAAACGGAGAGGACCGAACTCACGGCGACTTAAACATAGTCCCAGCGATCTACCAACCACACTATCCCAGATTCTGAAGAATTCTTTTGCTTTAGTTCGTTACAAGATTACTAAATCAGATTTTAATGACGAAAAAAAAAATTTTTTTTAATGTTCTCCACTTGCGGCAATGCGAAAAAAATTTTTTTATAGTGATAAAGGTTTCTTTTGAGATTAAAAACTATTTTTTTTATTAGAATTAAATCCTAAATTATTGTTTTTGACGGCGATTTTATTTAGGTGCATTTTTCGATGTTTTTTATAGATTTTTACTATCATCGCTTTTTTCTAAAAATTTCGGCTTTTAAGTCTTGCTATAAGGATGAAGAACTATTTTTTCTTTTAATCTTTTCCTATAATTTTTTTAATCGTGTTTAATATCTTTTTCATTTTTGAATAATGAAACTCGGAACAATTTTATTTTACACTAGATCAGTATTTCAGGGGAACTGAATTTCATTATCAAAGTTAATTTCACATCATATTTTCAAGAATTGAAACAAGAAAAGCCTTTCTGAATTTTAATTTAAAAAATTTGATGACAATTTTTTGTAATGTAAAAATAATATGACATTTTACATTGACACATCTAAACTTTTTGATGATACAATAATTATTTAAAGGTACTATGTACTAGCCAAAAATTTTTTAGCCAAAACATTTAAATTTCGAAGCAAAAAAAAGTAGTAAAAATTGTATTTTATCAAAATTAAATTTGCTCTAACATTTAATTGCATACAAGAATGAGACGAAAAAACACATCTTTTTTTACTGTAAGTTGACTTTTGTATTAATGATCCAAATTTGACTACCATCACTTACTTTTATGAGAATGCTGCTATCACAAAATTTTTGTTTAAAATCAATAAATTCCATTGCTTGTATTTCGTTGATAAGAGATTATGCATTAAGAACATAGTGAAAACAAGCATAACAATATATGTAAATGTCTTAAACGGGACTTTTTAAAAATGAAGATGCAATTGCACATGATGTTTTCACAAAGAATATACACCACCTTTCTGATGAAGGATAAAAACAATATTCTTCTCTGAATTGATTGGAAATTTTTTATCATAATGTAAATGTTATTCAGCTTAAATTTAAAGAAATTTTCCGATTATAATTATTTTTTTAACATAATCATGTAAAAATTTCCAAAAATTAAAATAAAATGCACTGCTGATAATAAATATACTCACAAGTTTAAGATAGACTTTAAAATTAGGGTTGAAAGATAATAGCTTCTTATATCACAGCGAAAGTTTATAAATAACCAAATTTTAAATATATTTAACAGTTTACATGACACTTCCGCACATTCTACTGTAAAAATTTTCTAATGCTATATTTAACAAAATTTTATCAAAGCAAATATCATGCCAGACAAATCCATTTTTTTTAAATTTTGAAGATTTGTAATAAAATTGTTGAATAAATTACACAATACAGTAATTAAGAAAACCATGATAAACATTAGAACTTTTNTTTTATCAAAGCAAATATCATGCCAGACAAATCCATTTTTTTTAAAAATTTTGAAGATTTGTAATAAAATTGTTGAATAAATTACACAATACAGTAATTAAGAAAACCATGATAAACATTAGAACTTTTTCTCAGCATCATGATTTTATTTAAGAACAAAACTCATTGTAAAAGAAACAACATCCAATTGTAAATGCAATACATAACCTTCATTATTTAAAATAAACGTCGATAATCTTTTGGTAAAACACAAGTTGAAAATACATAATTGTCATTAAATAAAATTATTTTTTACATGACTTTAAAATATTTGATACAGTTTGAGTTTAGTCCTACAATTGCAGATCTTTATTTACTTGAAATTATATTTCCAAGCAGTCCCAAGCATATATATTTAAAAAAAAAATCAAACTGCAAAACCCTTTAACTCTTTTTATTAGACCTGAAAATAACTACTCGCTATGTGGCCAGTCTACCAAAAAAGTGACGAAAAGTCTTAAATGAACAACTGCTTATTTTAAAAATTGTTTAATGTAGAATTACATCTATGTAAAAAAATACTCTGGGAATTCAGAATCCATCGATTCATGGTTGAAAAAATTATGTAAAAGGAGAATTCTTAAATAATTCACATATTTCGATGCTGTAATATATACAGTAAATATATCCCCCCCCCCAGATATTTTCGTTCACTTTAAAAGTCACTAAATTTTGACACATATTTATTATTTTTATTGTTTAAATAAATTTTTACAGCCTTAGAATATTTCAAATAAGAATTTTTTTTAAAAAAATAATTTAATAAAAATAAAAAAAGTTACTTTTAAATGTCTTAAGTGGCATATTTTTGTACCCATTGATATCAGTCACCAACTCAATAGGTTTAAGGAAAAAGCCGCTGCTAAGACATTCTGGTCTCCCAGAATATTACCTGAAAATATAAATTTTCAGGTATACTTTTTAGTTAGAGTAAACATTCAGGCATATTATGATACGAAAATATATTTAAAATTCAATGCTTGTAATTTTAATACATCGCACAAGGTTATATGAAGCCAACAGAAAATTTTAGAAATTTTTTTAAACGTCCTTAATAAAAATTGAACCAACTTTCCAGCTTTGCTCTTCGTTCACCATAAACACCCTTTTGAATAGACGATATTATTGTTTATATTTTAATCATTTACAAATTAATATAAATGATACATAAAAACATACACATCAGTCTATATTCAAGGAATTTAAATAAAAACGACTTATTCATTGTTTTGCAATAATTTAAACATGAAAATTTATTACGGTAACAATATTGTTTGCATTAAACTTTAAACAATCTACAATGTAATGGTTTTAACTGAGTAAAAAGTACCAGATAATTTCATTTTTAATTGTTTTAACATGGCAAATTTGTTAACAGACAATCATTTTTTTAATCTTTCTCATTGTTACAGAAAAATTCTGTCACAGATGAAAACTCAAACTAAAGAAAACAGCTGTAATGTAAAGCTAAATATAAAGTAAAGAAAACAGCTAGTAAAGTAAAGCTTAAAGTAAAAAGTGGAAAGCATAATGTGGAAATTTTGCTAACTAAATAATTAAATGTAAAGGAAAATGTCGTCAAGTTGAAAGTACAGTAAACCATAGAATACAAATTATAGAGTAAATTAAAATATAATGAAAGTTTTGACTAAAACCAATATATGACCAAGAGTAAACTAAAATTAAAATGGCGTGTAAAATTTAGGGGCCTCTTTTTCATCACTATTAAAATAGTCATCCACATTATTTATCTAAAGCATTTCTCAAAATCTCATATACACTGCACGATTCACTTCAAAAATATAGGAAAAAATTTCTGTACCTCTTAAGTACTTTTATTTAAAATTTAAGCATAGTATAAATTACGTTTTTATTTTATAGTATTTAGGGTAATCTTTTAAATCAGTAATGGAAGATGAAATTTGTAATAATTTAGAATCGTAAACTATAATAGATACTAAACAAAACTAATATTATTGGGATTAACATAGTGAAATATTTCATTAAATTAATTTTAATATATTATTAACCATAAATTAAAATTTGATTTGAATTTAACTTGATTTGGAAATGAATCTTTGATAACGAAATTCAGTTCCCCTGAAATACTGATCTAGTGTAAAATAANAGATACTAAGCAAAACTAATATTATTGGGATTAACATAGTAAAATGTTTCATTAAATTAATTTTTAAATATTATTAACCATAAATTAAAATTAAAATTTGATGTGAAATTAACTTGATTTCATCACCAGCCAAAGAAATTATGACTGAATCAAGTTTTAGTTATTTTATGAACTAGAAACTGCAAGTTTGACCTTTGCCTTTATGCGTTAACCCATAATAAGAGATTGTAGGACAAATCAAAAATTTTTGATAGCAAATATATTTATCAGAAAATATAGCCTAAGTCTTAGCCAACTGTAAACAAGTTTGAATATTATCATAAAACGTTAGTTCATTGTAGAAAATAGCTATTCTAGAACAATTTTGATAGCCAACTTACCAAAGAAAAATTTTGGGAGAAACAAGTTCTTGTTTACTTTTGACGAAGAAAATTTAAATTTCGCTTCTAAATGTAAGCCAATTACACAACTTCGTCAGGACACATTATCTCAACAAAAATGTTTATAACTTAACTCAGCAAAAAAAGTTACTGCCAAAATGAAATCAGCTACTTTTTTACCCAGAAATCTTAAAATTAAAGCCAAAAACTTTTGCCTTATTTAGAAAATCTTTCGCTCTTAAAATGTTGGACAGCCCAACCACCGATAAAATCAGGGTGGCCAATCAAATTAGATTTTAAATTTCCCTGATTTTTCCAGGTTTTCCAGGCAAAAATCTTAAAATTCTCAGGTCTGTGTTTCTTTTTTCTTATAAATTGTAGGATGTTATTTTTTTAACATATGATCTTGAAAAAATTATTTCTTTTGCTAATTTGGCAAGATTTTTTATTTATTTCTTGATGTTTTAGTACAACATTAATTTTTAAGACAGGTGGAGAAAATAATATGTTTCGCTTGTAGAATATATTTTTTTTATTGAAGACAATTTTTTTTAATATGCTACTTTAAGTAGTTTTTGCTCAAAGTGTACTTAGCAAATGTCAAAAACCGAATGACCAATAAAACCATGGATACATATTGTTTAATATATTTTCATTAAGCAAAAAGGAAAACAGTTTCAGGTGATTATATATAAATAAATTTTATAATTACAGTGGCTCCCAAAAGTGTTCGTTCACTTATAACTTTTATTGAAATAGGAAATAAAAATTCATTAATTAAATGAATATTTCAGAATTGGTAGATGTATAATCTAATCTCAGCAAAACTGCATGGAATATTTTAAAAACAAAGCAAAAGTTTATTTTTAAGATATCAATAATCAAATAGTAACAAAAGTTTTACCCCACGAAAGTCATCGTACACTTAAATGTTTTCCAATTTCAGAATTAAAATTATAGTCTATTGCTCTAATTTTTAATATATGTATTTGCAATTTAGTATCAAACTTGTGATAGCAAAATTATTTTAATTTTTGCTTCACCGTAATATTTTCTTTTATCATTTAAAAATGCCTCATGGTCATAATAAAACAATAGACCAAATTTGAAAGTCGATTATTTGTCATCATAAGAGGTATATCAGTAATGAATATTGTTATATTAATATATTGTGTCCTATTGCACTGGGCAATATGTGATAAAATTGCTTAAAAGGACTTCATATCAGAGATTAAAATTATAAAGTTTGTGGAAAAATACATAAATTCACAATTTAGTGTTATAAAGTTTCTGTAAAATTTAATAAAAAATATTCTGCTCGAATTTCACAAGACAAAAAAAAAAGCTAGTAACATTTATTTACAAACTTATAAAAGCTATTGTATATGTCAAAGGAAACTCTACTAAATATTACTAATTAGAAAAATTAAAATATTTACCAATGGGCCGAGATTTTTTTGAAAGTGTGAGATGACTTTTATGCAATAAAGTTTTTGTTACTTTTTGATGATTGATTTCTTAAAAATAAACTTTTGCTTTGTTTTTAAGATAATCCAAGCAGTTTTGCTAAGAATAGAATATATATTTTTATTATTAAGTATCTATTTTAATTAATGGATCCATTTAATCAATAGATTTTAATCATTGAAAGTCATAAGTGTACCAACAATTTCCTGAGTCACTGTATTTACATTTCAATATTAAGCTGTACTGTATACAGTATTTTATCTTAGCAAAGCTATTAAAAAAATTCATTGATCATTTTTTCTTTAAGCCAATACTTCAAGACGAATTTTTAAATAATGTTCTTTTTTTTGAATTAGCAGTAAGAGATTCACTATACAAAAATAAATGTCACAAATATAAAATTGTCTAATTTTTTGTTGTTTCTATAGAAAAAAAAAGATAAAATTCTTTAAATTTTATACTTTCTTTTTCTTATTTGAAATTAAAATATTTAAAGAATTCCAATCTAAAAACATAGTTTTTTTTAGTTTTGAGTAGTTAATTGTTTTTGTTTTAACAACTAGAGTCTTGTACAGTACAGAACTAAAACACTAAGTTTCGTTTTCCTTCTTCGTACTAAAANCAATCTAAACACATAGTTTTTTTAGTTTTGAGTAGTTAATTGTTTTTGTTTTAACAACTAGAGTCTTGTACAGTACAGAACTAAAACACTAAGTTTCGTTTTCCTTCTTCGTGCTAATACACATATGAATAAAAAAAGATTAAATTTATGTTTATACATCATTAAATATGTTTCCAATACATTCCTTAGTCTTTGTTTGATTTTTAGGGTAAATGGAGGAATAGTTTTGGAAATATCATCTCTGGAAAGCAAGTAACATTTATGACCTTTCGATATTGTGACAACTATACAATTCGAATTTTGAATTAAAAATCAAATAGTTACCAACAAATCAGCAAAATTAAAAATTAATATATAGTTGGTTCTTAAAAAAAACCTTCTTTTAAAAATTGAAATATGTTATAAAAGGTTAAAATGAAACAGAAAAAAATAGCATTAATGCAACAATTGTAACAATTTGTCGACAAACATTGCTGCAAGCGATTGTTAAAAAAATGTGTGATTAGTTGGCTTGCTGAGAAAAAATAATTCACAAATTTCTTTGAATGGTAGTACAAAAGCCTCCAGAAAAAGAATGCAATATAAAATCTATTATTATTAAATTATAACCAACTAATTTTTGGAGAATTTTATAAAGTTAAAAAAACAAAAACATTTTGAATCATTTCATCAAAATGGAAAACAATTACCACCAAAGCATCGGAACAAACTTGAGCCATAAATGGATTCAGCCCATGGACAGAACTTAAAACCAGAAGCAAATGTCTTGTTATTATATAGCTTATGTATCTTATCTAATATAAATTTTTATATCGTGAAGTAACTAAAATATAAATGTTTTTATTATATAATTTTATTTTTCAAATGGTGTGACAAGAGGGAATTAATCAAATATTGATTTGAATTTTGCTTATACCTGTTAAGAAAAATTAGGAAAAAAATACACATTCTTCTATGGAAGCCAGAAAGCAAAGTAAATAAATAATTGATTGGCTAGTATCATTTAATTAACTGAGTACATAAAATGTACAGATAATTTTCAATTGATGACAGTTTTAAAAATGCATGAATTAGCCAAAGATTTGAAGGTAAAAAGGCAGCTCTACCGTTAATCTACCCTGGACAGAAAGTGTATAGAAAAATAGGAGGCATCATATTATGTATAGCTTATATTGGTATATAAATTCAATATTTTTTTCTACTGAACCTAGGTAGAGAAACACTGATGTTTGATAGTTCTAACTTTAAAAAAAGTAAGATTTTTTTCAAATTCAACTTACCCCTTGTTGAACAGCAGTCTGGACTTTAGCATCTTACCTTGATGTATCTACAGATGAATTTGAAGTTGATTCAGAAGAATTAGACAATTCTTGAACTGTAACCTAAAATAAATAAAATTGAACAGTAAAAACACTAGCAAATTTCAAAAATCTACAAAAATCCCCATACTTTGCGGAATAAGGAAAAAAATAACCAGCAACATACTCAAAAACATTTGTTTAAGCATATAAAATATTTTAGCTTTAAACTATGAATTCATGCTTTTTTCAGAGAAATAATTTTTAAGCATACATAGTCTAATTCTGGACATAGTCTAGTTCAAGTCTGGTTCTGGAAATTTTTAATATCATTAATGTCGAGAGCATTGCTCACAGATACAGCAGATAAATTTCTTAGTCTTTTTGCATTTTTCTTGAAATATAGGGAAACAAATGTTATAATTCCATCATCACAGACTTAAATATAAGTGGAAGAGCTAAATTTTCGTTTGAGTTTAACAAATGTGCTCAGCAAGGTGAATCCCTATTATTTATGCTGTTCAATATCACCTTACATTTGAGAATCACATCATTCGACAACTAGGAAATATATTCACAAAGTCAACAAAAGTCTGTGCCCATGCACACAATACAGGAATTAATGCAAGAAAAAAAAGTAGACTAATAGAACAAATAAAAGAAATTACAGGAAAAGCAAATGAAATAGGTCTAACCAAAATAAAATGCATAATAAAGACAAAGACAGAAGAGCAAATACAAATACAAGGTCTAAAAATTGATAAAATTTTTAAGGGTCTTTTCTTACGGGTCTTTCATTACTTATCACGGTCAGGAAATGAACAATAAATGTGAAATTCCTGACTGCATAATAAATGGACACAAAATGGAAATATATTTGCAAATAATGATTACTAAAAAGGAAATTAATTTTGAGAAAATGTATAATATGTAAAACCCGAATAAGACCAATAGTAACATATGGGTCTGAAACCTAGGCCTTCTTCAACAATATGAAAATATATTAGGAAATTTTGAACATAGTATAACATAAGTTAAAGTAACGCATGGAGAAAAACATGCAACCATGAAATAGAAAAATTAACTTGCCATCTTAATATTTTTTTAAAATCCATATAACATTTCTTCATAATTAGTAATAGTACTGATCATATGATGTATACANTGCCTTAGAAAATCATGAAAGGAAAGGAGGAAGATCAAAGTTAAGATGGCTGGATCGGGTTGAGAAAGAACCAGAAAAAAATATTAAACTGGAGAAACATGGAACTTTATTGTAGAGAAAGCTCACAAGGCTTTTGAGTTGGAAAAGAAGAAGTATAATTCTGATAATCTGACATAACTCTAAGAGTTTCAACACAAGAAATCACTTGCCATCTTAATATTTTTTTAAAATCCATATAACATTTCTTAATTAGTAATAGTACAGATCATATGATGTATACATCACATGAATATAAATTATATTTCCCTCTGAATTCAACAAAAATACATTATCACATAATTTAATTGTGATTCATAAAGTATGATTCGGATAACTTCAAAAGCAAACCATGATGATCAACTGTTAATACCTATGCAGCGTAACAAAAGTAACAACTTTATTAAATCATTCACATAGCTATGAAAATTTTTTTTTATAAAGCACTGTCGTTGTTGTTGCTCATTTACGCCACACTAGAGCTACAGAATGGGCTATTGGCGACGGTCTGGGAAACATCTCTGAGGATGATCCGAAGAAATGCCATCACAATTTTGATCCTCTGCAGAGGGGGTGGCACCCGCGCTTCGGTAGCCTGACGACCTGCACGCGAAGTCCAGCACTTTACGGTAGCACAGTTTAACGAGGACCCTACGCAGACTGATCCAAGTGGTCACCCACCCGCACACTGACTGCAGCCAGTGATGCTTGGCTTCGGTGATCTGATGGGAACCCTGTCTTAATGATCAGTCCACTGCGGGACTAAAAAGCACTGTCAGATTTGTTATTTTATATACATCTTTGAATTATCACGCTTTATTTTTTTTACATGATATAAACTGTCATACAAACATGATATAAACTGTCATTTTATGATTGCAATAATGTATTTACTTTTAATAACTTAATTCAGATTATAAAGCGTAATCTTTTAGAAAGTTTATCTAAAAGGCAACCAAGATAATCCATGGATTTTGATTTTCTAATATATCTGCAGTCTTGTGTGGATGTTAAATAATCAGGATTTTAGCTATTATTTAGCTATTAGACAAGAAATTTGTAAAAATATTGGTCAATATCAACACAATAAATGAGTAAGAGACATTTAAATTTAAAAGACAATAATTGAATAACCCCTCACATTTACAACATCTAATTCTCCTGAGAAATTTTCAGTTGTTGTTCGTAGATTAGATTGTTGATCTTTGAGCTCTTTCACATTGCTTTCTAGAGCTGTCATTTTACTTTCAAAGTTAGAAACACTCTAAGAATAAAAATAAATGATTATTTACAGTACTTTTCTAAAAACAGAAATTAATGTATTTTTCACATAAATGATAATACAATTTTTTTTAAAAATAAACAAATACACCGATTAAAAATTTTATTCAATAAGTTCCAGTATTACCTTTCTTAAAATAGATAAAAAAAATACTTTAAACTAGGGGTGCGCTATCTCTTGATCTGCAGCCCAAGACAATATCAAAAATAGAATTTTCTTTTCAGAAAAAAAAAATCCGAGAATTTTGAACTGCACATTTAATTTTTTTCCAGTGTTTTTTTTTTCTCATTTTGTTTAATCGGTATTTTTTCTCTTTTTTTCATGAAAAGGAAACTTTAAAAAAAATATCAATTTTGCATTTGTTGAATTTTAATTTATAATTTTATGTCTAATGTTTAAAATAATTTAATTTTATTGAGTTAACTGATTAAAAAAAATTTAGTATCTAGTATATAGATGTTTCGGTATAAAAAATACTATAACTGCTAATATCTGTCTAAATACTTGGACAAGCAAATTGGTCAACCTGCTGTCCAATTGGCCCTTCTCTTAAAAAGATTGTGCACCCCTACTTTAAACACTTTTAGGTTTTTTTTGGTATTTTAGGTGTGAAACTATCTTCCGCAGTCTTTCACCAAACGTTTTTTTACAGTTTCCCGTACGAATGATTTTGCTTTCAAAAAAGATGTCTATAAATTCTAATATAAGGTATAGTGTTTTCTAAACTAATTTTTAAGATCTTCGTAAACACTTCGGAAGTAAATTAATGAGGTTGGAAAATCATTGATAGAAATAGAAATGTTACTTAGTGATTTAGTTTCATCACACTAGTAAGTATGTTTGTGCTTCAATTATAAATATTCTAATTTCAAGTTGCAGAATTAGAATTTTTAGATCATTCTAAATGAATAAAAATATCATTTCATCAGATACTGTACATTAAATGGTTATTTTCAAAGAGAGATGACCCATCTTGAGTACTCATGGTACAATAAAACTACGAAGAAACAACACCAACAGAAATCACACTTTTTAAAGCTGGAAGCTAATAGTTTTTAAAAATTGAGTTATCATAAGCAGCAGAAATGAGTTGTATTTTTGAGAATAGATAAGCTTATTTAATTTTGTATAATTATTATTATTTCAAATGATAATATTCCTCTGCATACTATTTGTTTTTGTAAGTTTATTCCAAAGTAAAATACTTAGAGGGAAAATTCAGGAATATTACAATATATTTTAACAGTAGAATGAAATGAAATTGTTTTAGTACATTAACAGGCACAATTTTTTTTCATATTAACTCAAAAAGTACATGACATATACATTCAAACTATACCAATTAGTAAAATAATTTTTCATAGAATTAATATAATTATTTTTTTTTGTTGGTACGAAAAGAAAGACCTAAATGGACATAAAATAGAAATACTTGACTCAGAGACTTAGTTATTGGTCACAGAAGTATATTTTTATCAATAGAACTATTTAATAAGGCATTAAAACTGAATTCTCAATGTATTTATTTCAAATATCATTTAATTCATCAAACATTGTGAGATTAATTTAAGAAGAGAGTATTGAAAACAGTATAAAATGGTTTTGAACTGTTTTCTGTAAATGAGGTTCGCTTCATTGTGTATAAGTAATACTTATTTAAATCAAGCCTGTACAAAAATTCTATTTCATATCAATTTTAGTGAATTTTCTAAAAAATACAAAAACTGGGACCAGGAGAAGCTGGCAATAAGCACTTACATTCATCGAAGTAAAAAGTATGCATATAAATCTTAATCTAAAAGTCATTTCTTTAAACCATTATGCATAATTACTTAAACTATTAACACTCAACATACTGCAGCACTGGCCATATTCTCACACTGGTAACCTGTTCCGAGATAAAAGAATTATTTTTGCCATCAGTCGATATTTGATCGCCCAAAAGTTTTTTTTTTTTTAATTTCTTCGACAAATACGGAGAAATTTGGGAATATAGGAGTAAACAGGAGATAGTTGTAAAATACAGGAGTCTTCTTTACAGGTACACATATAAATAATGACCTTAAAACATATTCCACCAAAATATAAAGGGTTCCCACTTAAAACAGGAAAAAAAAATTTCCCTGACTTGTCCAGACATTTCAAGTAAATTTCAATGAAATCCAGACCATGTTTTATCTATAATAGGGGTGCACAACCAGAGGAATCTGAACGAAATGAAAAAAATTAATTCCAAATTTTTTTTTCCTTTAAAAAAATTTGGAAATTTTACATTTATATATTCAAGTTTTGGATGCCCCCAGTCTCAATCAATGTAGTTTTTGATCGCTTTTTTTCCGATAGTTAATGCTACGAATTTGCACATAGTTTTGAGAATCCTAACATTTTTAATACATCATTATTACGATACACAAATTTCGGATTTTCGTTATCACTTTTTGACGTTCTTCATGTAGGCCAATTCCATCGTTAATCCAATGACTTTTAAGTAGTTATTGCTACCCATTTTCACAAAGTTTCTGAAATCGCGATTTTTGAAAATTGTAAATGCACATTGCTATTTGTATTCACGAGATTTAAAAATCAGGAAAGGAAGAACACCATTTGTGATAGATTCCAAAACTAATGAAGTTATTTACCCTAAGTTTAATACTGCCTACACCAGCTTCTGTTGAAACACAGTTTTCCAGAATGAATTTGGCCTGTTAAAAATTACAGAGCAGTCTTCAAACAAAATCATTAAAATTTTTTATTTAATAACTCGAAAAAGCTATCATATGATCAAGTAGATAAAATTATCACAATATTTAAAAACTTTGCAAATTACAGGATAACCATAAAAAAAAATTTTAAACCATTTTCTTCCTACTTAGACCATTTCAGATCATATGCTGGGAATTGATTTCTATATCATTAAATTTTAACTTTAAAAAATTAAATCAAAATAAGTTTCGAAAAGTAATGTAAATTTTAATTGATTTTAAATATATACGTGTAACTGTAAATAGTAAGTGTCATTTTAAAAAAGTATTGGTCATAAGGAATTGAAAACAAGTATCTTAATAGTTTTTTAAAGTAAAATAATTCCTTCAAAATTAACGTTTTTTTCTTTCTTCTTTTTCTTCCCTCTCTCAGCCCCTGCCTCTTATGATTAATTTAAAATAAATGTTTTAAAGTTAGAGTATATTCCCTACTAAATGCTAATTCTTTTTAGCTGAAGGGGTTTTGTTTTAATTTTAATCATTTTTAACCCTTATATTTCTTTAAATCAAAGTATTTAAATAGCATTTTTTTTTAATGACAAAATATTAATTTTTTTAAATTTAATTCTGTGAACAAATTTTTCAACGTTAAAATTTATGTTTAAATGGACTTTTGTATTATGTAATATGATAAAAATAAAAATGATTTTTCCAAAATTTTTAATTATTTCTATTTATCTCCCTTTAATATCAAGGATAATTCAGAATGTAATAATAATGGATAATAGTTTAATTTCAGAATGAATGGAAACATGGAAAAAATTACAGAATGGTGAAAAGAGAAGAAAAAATTATTTAAATAAAATGAAATTAAAAATTTTTATTAATAAAAATCCTGGAAAAAACAAAGATATCAACTCTTCATCAGCTCACACGATTATATAGTAAACGCTTTATTTGCGCAAACTTCATAACAAATCTAAATTACTTTTGTTCCTTTTTCGGCAGTTACTGCTTAGCATTAATGCATGGTTTTTAATTTTTCGATGTTTTAACACGACATTAATACGAATCGTGAGTAAAGATTCGGTAATTTAGATTAAAATTTTTTGGCGTGGTTTATTTGTGCCAGTATTATAGCATGTCAACTTATTTTTCAATCGTCGTTTTGGCAACTATTGCTACAAGGTTTTTAAAGTCCCGATATGTTTTATACGCTATAGCGACGTCTTAATTTCGAATCCCGCATTTAAGTACATTACTTTTTGACACGCTTTATTTACGCCGATTTTATTGTAAATATGAAAGGATTTTGATAGTTTTGTTTGGTAGTTTTTACTCTGTGAATTAAGAAAATTCTTATATTTTTAATACTAGTCAGACAACAGGCAAGTTTTGAATCGTGCATTAAAATAATTACTTTTTGCGTGCGCTATTTGCGTCGATTTCGACATAAATGTAAGAGTTTTTTCGAAAGTGTTTTTTTCTTCTTTTTTTCCATTATTGTGATTTAGAATAGCCTGATATTTTAACACAATATTGCAAATCGCGCAATTCGTTTGTGTTTATTTATTTATTATTTCTTTCTGTAATTTAAAAAGTAATTACGTATCTTATCAAAATCGACACCTTCTTGAAGAGAATAAAAAAAAAAAAAAAANTTTAAAAAAAACGAGATGAGTAAATTTACATAAAACACGGTCCCATTTGCAAAAAAATAATTCAAAACATGTGCATATTTTTTTAGCCCCATGAACATGTGAAAGTTTAACACCACACACTTAAACTATTCTTTTTGCTGTCATGTGATTTAAAAATTACATATTGCGAATCGAATTTAGGCGTTTTAAAAATAATACGTTATGATTCTTCTTGCAATTTAAAAGTCGCACATCATAATTAGCATTTACGCGATCATAAATTGCACATTGCATTTCGTTTTAACAATAACGAGATTTAAAAATCATCCATCGCGATTCGTATTCAGTCGTTTCAAAAATCATACGTTATGAGTCTTCTCTCAATTTAAAAACCACATATCACTATTCGCGCTATTTGATAATCATGCATAGTAGTTTTTATTTGCGCAATTTAAAAATCACAATCGGAAAGGCTACTGTTTTGGGCGTACTATTTAACGTTAAATTTTGTTTCGTTGTGCAAAAACTAAACAATTTAGAAACTTGAAATTATATAGGTGAACTTGTAGGAAAAAATACTATGTGGGCCGCTTTACAGACAGCAGGAATACAACTTCAGAGTTGAAACTAGGAATGTTGAAAAGGCCACGCTTGTTTATGCACAGCGTTTTTTTTTCTTCTTTTTTTTTTTGAAATTCCAATTTGTTGAAAGTTATTGCACTTTTAAGTGCTTTTTTATCTTCCTTTTTTGCTTTAGGTTACATTTTGCTCTGCTGCACAAAACTCTATAATCTACTGTGACAATGTCACTGCCACGGGGGTATTATTTATACATTTTATCTGAGTTTTTGTTGGTAAGAGTATAAAATTCTTCAAAAGAAAAGATCAATTAATTCAAATAAAATATAATTTTCTTGACTTAAAAAAAAAATAAAAAATTCAGGAAACATTTCTGATAAATTGATTCTGATTCTGTTTTTCCCCCCTAAGTAATCAGTTTTGCAGTTACTCATTTTAAACATTTAAAATTATTCAATTTCATGCAAAATTATTACAAGGTAAACTGACAAAAAGAATTTAATCCCGAGAACAATGATGTTTACATAACAATTACTACCAACAATTGCTGCCAACATGTCTGTCTAAATATTTTGGCCTGCGGCCCTTTTTTGGTCAATCTGCTGAGCATGTGGCCCTTCACTCAAAAAAGGTTGTGCACCCCTAATCTAAAGCATGTAATTTGTCATTAGAAAACAGAGTTTTTAATATGTAAGGCTTATTGCGTTATAAGACTTTTAGAAGGAAAAAAAAAATCTTTAAATGAGCCAGTTTCCCAAAAATAAGAAATTTTTACAACAAATAATTGTAATAGACATTGGAATTATTGAACTTGAATCTCAATCACTGATTAGTGTAACTGACAATTCTAAGATTGGTTATTTTTCTGGAATGATACAAGAATTCTCCAACTTTTTGCCATAAATTGCAATCTTTCCTGACTATTCCCTGCTTTTTAAAGTTAAAATAAAATTCCCTGAGAATTCTGGGTTTTCCTAGACCCGAGGGAATCTTGATATCATAAATCTGTTTTTAGTAGCGAAGCAGAATACGGATAATGATATGCAGAATTATTCAATATTAATACAAATAATGAAACATTTACTATTTACCACTTAGGAGACCAGTGAAGCATTTAAACAAGGCTTCACTCAATTCTCTCTCTATTAAAAAATCGGAAAGGCTACTGTTTTGGGCGTACAATTTAACGTTAAATTTTGTTTTGTTGTGCAAAAACTAAACAATTAAACTTGAAATTATATAGGTGAACTTGTAGGAAAAAATACTATGTGGGCCGCTCTACAGGCAGCAGGAATACAACTTCAGGGTTGAAACTAGGAATGTTGAAAAGGCCACGCTTGTTTATGCACAGCGTTTTTTTCTTTCTTTTTTTTTGAAATTCCAATTTGTTGAAAGTTATTGCACTTTTAAGTGCTTTTTTATCTTCTTTTTTTTGCTTTAGGTTACATTTTGCTCTGCTGCACAAAACTCTATAATCTACTGTGACAATGTCACTGCCCCGGGGGTATTATTTATACATTTTATCTGAGTTTTTGTTGGTAAGTGTATAAAATTCTTTAAAAGAAAAGATTGATTAATTAAAATAAAATCTAATTTTCTTGACTTAAAAAAAAATTCAGGAAACTCACCCTCATATCTGATATCCTGAGTAGTGACTGGTGTCTAGAAGGGATATACAGAACAAAGTTCACGTTAGGTTGGAGAGACTTATCCGAACCTATAAAAGGAAAACACAAAATCCATTATAGTTTGTCTATGGTAAGAACAATGTGTAGGTAGGAGCATATTTACAGATTGCTAACACTCTTTGCAATTAAGAAATTATAAACTCCAGTTTTGTGACAAAAGAAAAAAAAATTATAAACTTCCTTCATTGTCTTATTTTATGAAATTTCGATTCTTACATATTAAAGCATAACTGAATAAAAATTAAAATTATAAACTATAGGGGAAAGTGGGG